CGTCAACTTAAATTTAGGACGTAAATTGCATTATTAGAGTATGAAAAACGGAAACTTTCATGGTCAAAGGTCCTTCCACGTGTTTGATTCTTTCAAAGTACAAACCAGGAGGTGGCAAAGAAGCTTAGCCATCCATGTGCAATTCTTGGATTCTGTACCGATCAGTATTTTTGTTTTGTAAGAAATATTTCTAAGGATAGCTGTAGTTCTGTCTTTAATTTGTAATTTCCCCGAAAGGAGGCCTAAGGCCGCCTAGAGAGGTCACCTGTTTTAACAACTCGCACCACTATACAGTAGTGTGTTGTCTGTCAGTCAGTCGACACTAAAATGACGTCACATAAGGAAACCTTTAACGTTGCAATTTGTACTGTCATGACGTCAGTTAAACGTGCGCATGCCATGAATCACGAGAAGAATTATTCACTCTGTAGGCTACAACACGGCATGACATATGAACTCCAAAAGAAATAAATAATATTTGTTACATTTATTTTTGTTTTATTTACTCTTTAAACAGAACACTTTCGCGGACCATACGGAAGTACATCAAGTCTTAACTGTAGCTCTGTATTGCAATAAGATGAGTACCATATCATGATTATACCTCCACCCGGTGGCTCAATGCGAAGGATTATATCTCTGAAAATCGGATTTCGATACCCGTGGTGGGCAGAGCATAGATAGCTCATCGTGTAGCTTTGAGCCTAATAAGAAACTTGGATACGCCGACATTGGCGACAAGTTCAGTTACCAGTGAAAAACAAATAATTCACAGTTTTTCAAATGAAGTGAATTATTTGAATAAACAAGGTTGGACATGCCACTTAGAAAATCTCTCTTTTATGCCACGACATGACACATAATTGTTCCCTAAAACTGTTCAAGAAGTTGAAAGATACGAGAGAGCGTGCGACTGGCATACCGTATTTATGGTACTCGGATATTTACAACTGTCTAATAAATTCGACATCAGTTCACAGTTGGAAGACTTCTCATGACCTATAAATGCTGTATAACTGGTTTTATTAAGGAGTTCGATATGTATATAACTTTGACACTCGGGGTGAAAAGTACTTCACCATAAAAATAAAATAAAAAGTAAGTACAATCAAGTCAAAACTCGCTAGGCCTATTGTTATTAGTACTGCAACTACTGTTGTAGAAAACATATGCCCGAATATCACGTGTTCTTAGTTTTATACTAATTAAATATTTTTTTTGTTATTTAGTTTCCATAAAAGTTCCAGCATAATTATGTGGTCCAGAAAGTCGTTGAGATTATGTTTTTCTGTTTACTTTTTTCTTTGTACTTGATAGTTTATTTAGTCTGATGTGATGTTGCAGTAATATACCATCAATGTTGAAAGAATCGGTGACTGTAATAACCTTTGCTGGCCGAATTGACAATGTTACAGTTGACCAATGATATAATGATATGAAATAACGATGGTTACAAGGTAACACTGTCGACAAAGAAACCGAGTTTACCTATAGAATTGAAGCACGCTTTCTTAGTTCAGTTCTACTAGGATATCATCAGGTAAATACTATTTGGAAGTCATCGTGTTTTTAATTCTAAAGAGATCAGTCTCGAAATAATATGGGACTAAACACAGCATAGTAGAAGTATTGACTGTGACCGGTATGCGCAAGTACACACACTGTGTTGAAGTATTGACTGTGACCGGTATGCACAAGTACACACACTGTGTTGAAGTATTGACTGTGACCGGTATGCACAAGTACACACACTGTGTTGAAGTATTGACTGTGACCGGTATGCGCAAGTACACACACTGTGTTGAAGTATTGACTGTGATCGGTATGCGCAAGTACACACACTGTGTTTTCCTTTTGTTGTTCTTTTATCGTAGTATTAAAGACTAATTTCATCACACTTGTCCAGGCTTCTTATATCACGTACACTAGAAATCTCCGTTGAGTTATTAAATATAATATTCCGCACATTTCCTGACCGAATCTACTGTTATTAGAGGATCTAACTCTCTGGTACTGGTAGAGAAATCAGTCCACCTGAAAATACCACACTGTTATACCAGAGTTAGCTTCTAAAGCGGTATACTGAAGTATCTTTACAAATCAATGTATTAGTTTAAAATTTATCATCATATGTTACTGCCATAAACAAGACCTGTCACGTGCAGTTCTCGTACCGTTTGATAGATGGGTCTCAAAGTTTTAAAAAATGGATGTGTTATGAGTACAACAAAAAAAACAACAACAGCTAATGGAAATTGAATGAAGAGTTGAAAAACTTTTTTCTATGTTTGATATTAATATTCGTCGATACTTTTATATAAGACGTTCACACTAGATAGGAAACCCAATAACTTAAATCGGATTTTCCTTCCTACAAGAGGTTGTCATGAAACTGGTTATTTTTTGTGTATCATACTTGTTCAGTGTGAGGTTCTGAAAGACGTTTTCATTCGTTCTTACAGCCTGTGTAATCTTAACTTTATCATTCGTTCTTACAGCCTGTGTAATCCGAACTTTATCATTCGTTCTTACAGCCTGTGTAATCTTAACTTTATCATTCGTTCTTACAGCCTGTGTAATCTTAACTTTATCATTCGTTCTTACAGCCTGTGTAATCCGTTAACTTTATCATTCGTTCTTACAGCCTGTGTAATCTTAACTTTATCATTCGTTCTTACAGCCTGTGTAATCTTAACTTTATCGTCTCCGTGTGAAATTCCTTTTATTTATTTTTTAAACACGTTAATACTTCCGAGGAATGGGCTAGAGGAAGAAGTCAATTCTTGATACACGCGTTCTGTAAGTTATTATTACAGGAATGAGTTCATTATATATGTGTTTGTCTGTAGGATATTAAAATAGACGAATTTAGAAAACGCGCGTAATGATTTTCGTCAAGAAGAATTTCCGTTTTACATATAAATTGTACTTTATTCTTACCTGTGAATAAGTAGTCCTACGTTGTATATAAATTGAAATTAATGAATCCAAAGTACAGTTTGTAATTCTTTGTTACGTGACTAAGGAAGAAAAACTGTGTTTTCTCTATTCATTATCCTTCATCGTGACATGGAGAAGTACGTCGTACATATTAAAATGAATATATTATACTGATAAATGACTACTTAGTTTCCAATTGTACACCAGAAAGGTACAATTGAGACGCAAACGTTGCATAATGATTAATAAACTCGTTCAATTCTTCCTACATGGAAAGATCCATTTTTCGTGTCTAACTGGATCATAGGTCAATTGAGACTGTCTCTTTCCTCTTATACAACAGGAATTTTCTTTTTCACGAGAAAAGGCTATAATTATTAGTATCCGTTGACTTTGGCGTCCGCAGACATTTTTCCACGGAGGATCAAAGTTTTCCGGGGGGAGAGGGGGGGAGTATTGTGAAATTGTGTATGTATATATATGCTGAATGAATAAAGAAAAATTACGTTTCTTATTTCCGGGGGGGGGGCAGTTGATTATATATTTCCGTTCAATATGGCGTCACTATCCTTTATCCACAAGTGTGTGTGTGTGACGTCACGCTCATAAAGTCTTCTTTATTATCAAATCACGAATATTTTTATAATTGTAAAAAGTAATTTCTTTATTTCAAGTATTTAGTCCGATTCTTTGGAGTCAACGAACATTTTGAGGTTTTGTGTGTATAAATGAAAATAATTTTTTTAGCTGTCGTCACTATTTACTGGTAAACGTATTTTTTATACCTCATTGTTCGGCAGTAGACATATTTTTAGTATTTCTCCGGTAGTGAACACAAAACCCGTTACTAAACCACTTGGTAGCTGAGTAGTATTGGAAGCTGCCAAGCTTCGCCGTTACCCTAATCAACTCCATATTAATACTTAGGCTCTTACGGTAAAATTAATCAACATCGGTGGCTCTTGCGGTAAAATTAATCAACATCGGTGGCTCTTGCGGTAAAATTAATCAACA